TTGCTTTGCGAGTTCCGTGATATGTTTGTCTGGTCACCTACAGATATGACAGGAGTGCCACGAGATATTATTGAACACAAGTTGAATGTTGATCCCAATGGTAAACCCGTACAATTGAAGAAGAGAATATTTGCTCGAGACTGCAATGACGTTATCAATGAAGAAACATTGAAGCTGGTTCGTGCTAATATCCTCCGGAAAGTTCTTTGGCCTACCTGGTTGGCTAACCCAGTCCTGGTATGAAAGCCTGATAACTCTTGGCGCATGTGCCTAGATTACACGGATCTCAACAAACATTGCCCCAAGGACTGCTATCCCTTACCCATCATAGATCAGATGGTCAAAGGTATCACTGTGTATAGGACCCTCATTTTCCTTGATGCCTATAAAGGATACCACCATATTCTTATGGCGCAAGAAGATGCAGAAAAGATAGCCTATATCACCGAGATCGGAGTGTACTGTTATGACAAGATGCCTTTTGGCTTGAAGAACGCCGGGGCAACCTATCAACGCCTCGTCAATTGAGCATTCCATGACTAGATTGGCCGAAACATCGGGATATATGTGGACGACATGGTGATCAAGAGCAACAGAGATGAGCAAATAGACAAGGATATGCGCGAGATCTTCTTGATTCCCCGCAAGATTAATATGAAACTTAATCCGAAAACATGTGCCTTCTGCGTAGGGTCGGGTAAGTTCCTTGGTTACCACGTCTTCAAGGATGGAATCAGTGTTGATCCGGCAAAAATCGAAGCGATCCTAGCCATGGAAGTCCCGAAGAACATCAAGGAAGTTCAGAAACTTACAAGATCCCTGGCGGCCTTAAACAGATTCCTCTCTCGAGCCGCAGAGAGAAGCCTCCCATTCTTTCATACACTCCGCAATGGCAGAAAGTTTGAGTGGAACGAGGAATGCTAAAAAGCTTTCCAAGAGCTAAAGGATCATCTTAAATAGCTGCTTATATTGGCCAAGCCTGAACCGGGGAAGACCTTATATGTATACCTCGCTGCTCGAGAAAAGGCTATTTCAGCCGTCCTAGTCCAAAACAAGGATGGCAAGGAAATTCCATTTTACTTTGTTAGTAAAGTGTTACAAGGTGCAGAGACACGATACACACCCATGGAGAGACTTATCTTGAGTTTGGTTATGGCTGCTCAACGCCTGCGTCCATACTTCCAAGCACATCCGATACGGGTGTTAACAGAACAACCCATTCAGCAAGTTCTTCTCAAGCCAGAAGCTTCTGGTAGAATGATAAAATGGGCAGTTGAGTTGGGGGAGCACCATATCGAGTATAAGCCAACAACGACAATCAAGGGTCAAGGTTTCGCAGTCTTCCTTGTAGAAATGCCTCGAACTACTGACTCTCGGAAGCCCCGAAGCCTAAGAGTCACCCTGCTACCTACGTCAATGTCAACCCTCGAGCCTGGACATTATACGTCGATGGCTCCCGTTGTGACGAGGGAGGGGGAGCCGGTATCAGCTGATCCAGAGATCGAGAACATGAAAGGGTATGACGTGGAGTACACTTACGCATTGAGATTTGGATTCCCAGTTACTAACAACGTGGCTAAATATGAAGCATTAATAGTAGGGTTAAATATGGTTCTAAAGCTGGGGGTTCAAAAAATCCAAGTTTTTAGCGACTCTTAGGTAGTAGTAAATTAGATCCTGGGTAATTCTACGGCAAATGATGAGCAGCTCAGACAATACCTCGGGAAGGTCCTCAAATTAAAAGATAAGTTCGAGGAGTGCATCATCTATCACGTCGTACATCGGGAAATAAAAGGGCAGATGCATTGAATAAGTTGGCTTCCTCGAACTTTGCACATCTCAGTCACAAAGTTTGGGTCGAAATCCTCCCCATAACTAGTATTCATAAGCCTCCCGTAATGGCTATTACCGAAGATGGTGACTCATGTATGACTCCGTTTATTCAATATCTAACAGATGGGATGTTGCCTAGTCGCAAATCAGATGCTCGAGCACTCTAATTGAAAGCGGTTAAATACACTTTGAGAGATGGTGTTTTATATAAACACGGATACTTGCTACCCATGCTGATATGCGTCGGACCAAAGCAGGCAGCTTATGTCCTCGAAGAGATACATGAGGGATCATGTGGAGCGCAAATGGAAGCGAGAGCACTCGCTAAAAAAGTGCTGTGTTTAGGGTATTTTTGGCCCACAGTTTTTAAAGATGCATACCAGTTTGTACAAAAGTGCGATAAATGTCAGCGCTTCTCCCCCATTACTCGACAACCACAACACGAGATGGTCACCATTCAAAGCCCATGGCTATTCTACCAATGGGGCACTGACATCATCGGCCCTTTTCATCCAAAAGGGGCAGGAGGATTAAGATGGGTAATCGTAGCAGTAGATTACTTTACTAAATGAGTAGAAGCTAAATCATTGGCCTCAATATCAAGAAGGAAGGTGTTGGACTTTCTTCTGGCCCAACATTGTCTGTCGTTTTGGAGTTCCGAGGATCATTGTCTCTAACAATGGGACTCAATTCGAGAGTAACCCCTTCAAATCATGGTGAGAAGAAATGCAAATCGAGCGCTGTTTCTCAAGCTCACCCTCAGGCTAATGGCCAAGCAGAATCAATTAACAGTATCATCTTGCATGGGATTAAGACCAGACTATATGATGCTAAAGGAGCTTGGGCTGAGGAACTTTCTCATGTCCTATGGTCATACCGCACCACCGCCCACTCCTCGACAGATGACATCCCCTACAGCTTGGTCTATGACATGGACGCGGTTCTCCCAGTTGAAATAGGCCTAGAAAGTCCTCGTACAATCAACTTCATCAAGAGCGCTAATGATGACGATATCAGGCTAAATCTTGACGTTCTCGAGAAGCAACGAGATGCCGTCAGGATCAGAGAGGCGAAATACAAGGAGATCCTTCGTAAGCACTACAACAAACGGGTCAAGGCAAAAGATTTCGTGGTGGGGGATCTTATATTAAGGAAAAATGAAGCTAGTCGAGCAAAGATTCCTGGAAAGCTCACTGCAAATTGGGAAGGACCTTACAAGGTCATTCAGGCCTCTCTCCGGCAGGCAGTTACTGCTTACAAGCCATGGATGACAGCGAAACCATCCTCCCTCGATTGTGGAACATTCAGAACCTCCGCAGGTTCTACGTTTAAGTCTTTGTCTGCTACTTGCTATTTAGGTTATTTGCTTTATTTGCTTTATCTGCTCTACTGCTTTTACTTTCTCATATGTAATGCCAGCCCGGGTTCTCGGCTAATTATTCAATAAACATCATTAGATAATTTCTTATATTTTCGACATTTCATTGAGACTAGTCCTCGAGATGGACTCCCTCTTTAGGGCCATCCTCGTTCAGAGCCGTGTATTCAACATACGGACAAAAACCAAGGAAATCCCCTCGTACCCACTGTAGATCGCGGTAACAAATCAAGGAACTCGTACCCAGTTTCCTCGAGAAAGCCGTGTACTTAACATCCGGCTCAAAATCGCTATACAAATAAGAGAACTCGAGTTTTATAAAGCAGTCATATGTTTGCTGCCTTCACATATTGTGTGAGGTTCCAAGGGGAACATACATGTTTTCCTACGATATTACAAGGATTTCAACGCTGAGGTTGTCAGGAGAAGGGTGGATAATGCTTTTAAATCCATGCAGGCTAAGAAGATTTACGCATCGGTTGAGCTTATCCTTGAGATCTATAACCTCTTCGTCTTGGGAATAAACCCTTAAAAGGAGTTCCTCTCGAGAGCTCCTGGTTCTTGGATCTGTTTGCTCTTCGGGCTTCTCGAAGGGTGGGAAGTCGACGTTATGGTCCAGCAGTAAGTTCTGAAGCTCGCTTATGTATTTTATCAGGAGCTCAGCTTCGCAAGTTCTTTCCTTCAGCATATCCATCGCTGAAATAAATCGACGCGTTCTTATTGAGATCATGTACTGCACTCGAGCAAGGACCTGATCCTTCTGAGAAACCATGGCGACACGGTAATCTGTTTGCCCTATTTCAGCCGGGCATTTTCTTTTTCCATAGGAACCAGCTCATCATGGATGTCCGTCTCGAAAGTTAGAGAATCACTGAAGTCTTTATCTTTCTGATAATCTCGCCATTGCATTTCCACGCGGAGTTCTTTTATTTTCTCGATCAGATGCTGGTTGACTTTCACATTGCGTGCCCGCATAGCATCGAGAAGGTCCGCTTCTATTTTCACTACTGTCTCGATACTACGGACATCTACGTGACTTCTCATAATCTCGCTAATCATCGAGTATAGAGGATATTCCCTCGATTGTTCCTCCGAAAAAATCATGAGATGAATCCGATGGACCGACCAACTATCCTGTTATCAGGAAAAATCCAAAGGCCAAAATTAGACTTGGAAGGATAGACAACATGCCATTCACTTAAGGGACAAATAAAAACTTGAATTGTTTACAAAAATCCCTAGCAGGTATTATAGAGTGAAGAGTTCATACAACATCTTGCCCAGTAGAACCATCCTTGGGATGACTCGGAGATATCTCTCCGGCGTTCTTTTGTGTTCCAGAGTTGCCAGTGTCCGATACGTCTTCCCTCGAAGCCTCATCATCTTCTTACTCGAGCTCGATGCCGATATACTCATTCGACACCTCAAGAATTGGCTCCTCATCGCTTGGACCCTTGGACAAGACTATGGCAGGATCACCAGGGAGCATGGCCATATCTTCAGGAGTACCCATCTTAACGAGGGCTTCACACAGAGCTTCCCATAAAGGCAGCTGCTCAGCGCTGAGCTTTGTGAGGACCTTTACCAAGGCCTCATACATGGTTTTCTTGGGGCTTTGTTTCAGGAATTGTTTGAACTATTTGTCCTTGATGGGTCTGTCTCCGCTAAGCCTCTTAAAGCCTGCAACAGCTACTCTGTGAGCTCCATACTCTAAGGCCGCCAAGTTGACCTCCTCGATATCTGCTGCCATCTGACCTAAAGATAACATCCTGAACCAGAAGGCAACACGTCATTTGTGGAGGTCCTCCCTCGAGATATGCAGATCTGCAAAAGCCCTCAGCTTCTCGTCCAACTCAATATATCTCCCCTGCACCGATGCTAACTCCTGCTCTTTGGCTTGTATCTGCTGATTCTTCTCCTCCAGAGCGGCTTTCTCAACAAGCGCTTGGTCTCTCTCGATCCGAGCCTGGACCAACTCCTCCTTTAAATTCCTCAAGTGCATCAAGTATGCCATCGAGACTTCACTCGTCGAGGCAGCAAACTCTTCCAACAAGGGGCATTCAATGGTTGGAGGATCGCCAAAAGTATGAACTGCCACAATTGGTCCTCCCTCGAATGCACGGGATGGCATAATGGTTGCTTCCTCCTCGAGCGGGTCCTTCCCTTTGTCCACGATAGGTGCCTTGGTGCTTGGATATACTTCTACTTGGGGAGTGGCGGCCTTTTCGGTTGAAAGGGGGGCACTGATTTTCTCCATTGCAGGAGGCATGGTATTCTCTCCTTGCACCGTTGACTTCGAGGAGAGAACATCTGCCTTCTTTGTTTTCTCCTTGTCAGAGATCTTCACGAGTCTCTTCCTTTTCCTCTTGGCTCCAACAGCTACAGTAGTTGACTCTTCTTCATCTGAATTCACAATAGGAAAGGAGTCTTTGTCACCATACAGTCGAGAACCAACATTGTTGGATGACATGACCTAAAAACAGGAATAAAGGAGGTTAGTACCTTTTTTTTCCTCAACCAAAATGTTAGTATCTTTCCCCTCCTCGACAAGAACAAGGGGAACGTAATACTGCACGTCACTCCATTTAACAAGCTTGGAGTACTTCAAGATTTTCTTCAAATCGTCGGCAAACTTCTCGACGCTATCGTGATCCTCCTTGGACCACTCATCCTTTATCACCCCGAGACCTTCTACTTCTTGATGGTTCCAAGCAACACAAAACTTTTCCAACGATTTCACAATAAGGTATTCAGGCTTCCATTCAGGTGAACCACCATAGGCCTTGACCATCTTCATGACGCCGGGTCTAAGGCTTCTCTTGACAATGTACCAATCTTGGAATGGTGTCGAGGGAACGACAACTTGGAAGAGGTATCTCCACAGAATTAGTTGGGGCTTTACTTTTACTCGTTGACATATTTTCGCGAACCCGAGAACAAAGGTTATCAAATTTGGTGTAAAATGAGCAAGGGGGTTTTATAGTATTGGACAATCTCCTCAAACAAAGGGAAGAGGGGGAATTTTAGCCCTAGATGCATAAAGCGGTCATATACAGTGATTCTTCCCTCAGAAAGAGAATTAGCCCTCTCGGTTCCTAATAGGGCTCTAGCTTCTAGATCTAGGGGCAGGTCATATCTCGTTTTTACACCGTTTACCTTCTCATCGGAATCTATGGTGGAAGCAAAGTCATCGAGAGTTTTTAAATCTGGGTTCTTAGCCATATCTGCCACAGTATTTCAGATCTAAATCAGAACTGGAATTCTAAAGCAATTAGAAAGTAAGAGTGAGTTGGAAAGACTTACTATTGGAAAAGACCACTCGCCTTTTGAGTTGTAACCTCTCAGGGTGGTGATAATCTCCGGCGAGTCTTACAAATTATGTGATAGCAACGGTGACTATGCAGGGGCAATTAAGGGACTCAGCAAACCCTTGGATTGAGCTCTCAAGACGACTTCTTTAAATTTCAAAAGCTTTCGCCGTCAGGAATGTCACGGGAATTGAGGATTTCGGTGACAGTAACAAAGTATGGCTTTGGATGAGTCTTTGGGCAGAAGGATTTTAGAGACGAGTGAAATAAATGGGTTTAATTTGTTCCAATCTATATAAAGGAAATTGAATCGCCCCAAAATTTGACAGTTCGCCTATTTTCAAGGAGGCTTAATGATATGAAGCCGTCGTTTGGGGAACGTGTAGAGTAATGGACGTGTCTGCATCCATTTTGGCGGGATTCTGCGTCGGGTCACCTTCCCAGATTGGATCCTAACCCGCGAATTACCCCATCAGACATGCTCGATGGAGTATGGGCCGAGACTTGTCCGTTTCTCTTGGGCCGGATCTAGGTTAGACCTATTTTATGTCAAGTATTGTTTATTTCATATAACTAACACTTGACAGGGGTACTTGACGAGTCTATATCCATCACCAATATTGGACCGGCTCATCAACCGAGTAAATAGCCCAACCGACTCTGTTAAGGCGGTTTGAGCAACACGAAATCTAATAGGACTCGGTTACCTCCCAGGTAACTTCATGCCTATAAATAGGGTTGGTTATACCATAATTGAGGTACGCTATTTCTAGCACAAACTACTACTCACATACATTCTTTAAACTCTTTTCTGACTTAAGTATCAAAGTGTCTACACTCGGGAGACCCCCGAGGCTTTCTTTTCCAGGAAACCTTAGCCGAAGTTCCACTACCAAACAGGCGATGTAAAACCAAGCTTTGTCAAAAGCAAAAGAATAGTTTTTTTTTAACTTATAAAAATTCTTAATAGTGGTTTTCCTAGCCCTCAAGTTCCAATTATAATTTCTAAGAATTGAAATAGCATTTTTGAAGTCCCAAGATTCTAGCACGTATTTTGATAAACAAGGAATCAAAGGGTAGAAAATATCTAGAGAGATGGGTGTATGAAGAAGGAAAACAGAAGTCTTCAACTAAGCCTCTCATTTCTTAAGTTCAGAAAATTCAGAATCAGTAATCAAGGAGCCATGTGCAAAACATGTTTTTTAATCAAACAGAGAACCGATATGTGAGCTATCAAAACCAATGTAAAAATGGATGAACAAGGAAGAATATTTGCAGAAGAATTTGGGGAAAACTGTTTAGAACTTGGGGAACAACTGATATCAGATTGACACTTCAAACAGATTCTTTTAAATCAGATTCTCATGTGGAACTGATCATGTTCAAACTCACTTGACAAACCGTTGCACCATTCGATGATCCATTAAGTCTAAAATAAACTTCAGCAAACCTAGAAGGAAATTATGAAAAGAAGTATCAAAAGATAGTGCAAGGATCAGGAGAAACGAATCTCCAAAAACAGCCACTGCAGACAGATTTTCAGAAAGTGATATGCGTGTTCAAATTTAGCTTATGGCTAAACTACAACTCCGCTTTGCAATCCGTAAAAACTGAATTAAACTACACTAAATGAAGAAGTTACTTGTAAAAAGAAATCCTGGAAATGAGTTCCAGAGCTATGAGAAAGAGGCCTGTTAATAGAGGGATTCAAATATGATTTTCTGCACTTTCGAAAGTACCAATTCGTCATAACATGTTTTCAGCAAAGTTTCAATTGACCAGCACCAATCAACAATTCGTACAAGCCAGACTAACCATGGATATACTAGGAAAAGGCTCAAGAGAAAACATGTAAGAAAGTGACAAGATATATGAATCGGACCTCACAAAACAACTCAAATTCTGAAATTTCTAACTCAACAACCGAATCAAGTTATTATGTGAATTTACGTTTCTAATTAAATGTTATTTCTAAACATTTAAATTTTGTTTCTAAACATTCCCGCGCTTCTACTATCTCATTTCAAAATATAATACTCCAAAACAAGCCGAGGTTAATAAACTCAAAATAGCACATCCCAAGTCTTAATCAGTGATTTTAACCATTGGAAATTACTGATGTTCACAAGTTTCACTTAAAAAAAAATGCTGCAAATAAACTCCCAAAATATCCTAGATCGCTTCAATCCCAATCTAGTATAAATGACTTCCTACAATAAAAAAAAATTTGCAGAAAACCAAACGGACTGCCGAACACCCTTACCTTCATTCCATAAAGTTTATCTCTTTCCCTCTGGCTCTTAACTTCCTAGCTTCGTTGCCCTTCTTCTAATTTTCTTCTCATCTCAAGAGTTCGAACCCGATTGGAGTCTGCCCGAGACTTTATCAGCTTCATTTGCATCTCCTTCGGAACCATAACCATGTTCACAATCAAACATTAATCAACATATATTGATATTTGAGCACACATCAGAGAGAAAAAAAATGAAAAAAAATCTCACATCAATGAATATAAACGATGACTTTAGCACATCACCTCCGATGTAACACTCTATTCAACATTCCCACTTGAGCACTACTTAATCATGTTTTAATTAAAACTAGTATTTACCCCGTATACTACACAGGAAATACCAAGAGTGCAAAATATGTTAGGTAAGGTGATGGGTGATTTCTTTTGTTAAATATTAAAAAATATAATGGAGTTTAATAATTATTATAAACAGGAAAATTCAAAATTTGAAGAAAAAATTTAATGGACTTTAACAATTAAGTTTAATTATTTAAAAAGATTAAAAATTTGAAAAGTTTTAAGTAATAATATATTCACTAAATTTTATTAAATTATGAAATTTCAGTAAAAGTTGAGATATATATGAGTCAACCACAACCTATTTAAACAACAAGTAATATATCATTTGGAAAATAATGTAAACAAGTTTTACCCTCACATTTTACGCATGACCAATTTCTAACTGGATATATATCGTGCTGTATCTTTTTCGAAAAAAATCATTATTGTTTGAAGGAAATCTCTTAGTTATCTATAGATTTTTGGTTTGCGTAACCAAATATTATATTTTTTTTATCCTAAGTCAAATAGAAAATTATTAATATATAATGGTAATATCTAAATTTTTAATCAACTTACTGGGATTCTCAATTTCACACCACATTAGCATTTTTCATCCTCTATTAATATATTTAGATTTCATTAAAATTGTAATTCTTTTTTTCCAAAAATTATGAGAAAAGGAAATTAGGGTTTGTATTTTAATTCAAAGACCAAATTAGGACTTTAATTAATATTGAATTAGGATACATACTCTAATTTCCTTTAGGATCTGTATCTTAATTCAAATACCAAATTAGGGTTTTGTTGTGGACTATGAAACCTATCATGGAATTCATGACGTTTATTGAATAATTGCCCGAGGACCCGAGTTAGCATTACATACGAGAAAGTAAAAGCAGTAGAGCAAATAAAGAAAATAAGGCAAATAACCTAAACTAGCAAGTAGCAGACAAAGACTTAAACGTAAAACCTGCGGAAGTTCTGAATGTTCCACCATCGAGGGAGGATGGTTCCACTGTCATCCATGGCTTGTAAGTGGTAACTGCCCGCCGGAGAGGCCTAAATGACCTTGTAAGGTCCTTCCCAGTTTGCAGTGAGTTTTCCGAGAATCTCTGCTCGACTAGCTTCATTTTTCCTTAATACAAGATCCCCCACGACAAGATCTATTACCTTGACTCGCTTGTTGTAGTGTTTGCGGAGGATCTCCTTGTATTTCGCCTCTCTGATTCTGACGGCATCTCGTCGCTCCTCAAGAAGGTCAAAATTTAGCCTGATATGATCATCATTAGTGCTCTCGACGAAGTTGATTGTTCGAGGACTTGCTAGGCCTATTTCAACTGGGAGAACCGCGTCCATGCCATAGACCAAGTTGTAGGGGGTTTCATCTGTCAAGGAGTGGGCGGTGGTGCGGTATGACCACAGGACGTGAGAAAGTTTCTCAGCCCAAGCTCCTTTATCATCATATAGCCTGGTCTTAATCCCATGCAAGATGGTTCTGTTAATTGATTCTGCTTGGCCATTAGCCTGAGGGTGAGCTAAACTTGAGAAACGGTGCTCGATTTGCATTTTTTCACACCATGACTTGAAGGGGTTACTCTCGAATTGATTCCCATTGTTAGAGACAACAATCCTAGGAACTCCAAAGTGACAGACAATGTTTTGTTAGAAAAAATCACACCTTCCTTCCTGATATTGAGGCCAACGGTTTAGCGTCTACCCATTTAGTGAAGTAATCTACTGCTACGGTTACCCATCTTACTCCTCCTATCCCTTTTGGATGAAAAAGGCCGATGATGTCAGTGCCCCATTGATAGAACGGCCAAGGGCTTTGAATGGTGACCATTTCGTGCTGTGGTTGGCGAGTAACGGAGAGAAGCGCGGACATTTATCTCACTTTTGTACAAAGTGGTATGCATCCTTAAAAACCGTGGGCCACAATACCTTGAACGCAGTACTTTTTTAGCGAGTGCTCTCGCTCCTATATGTGCTCCACATGATCCCTCGTATATCTCCTCGAGGACATAAGCTACCTGTTTCGGTCCGATGCATCTCAGCATGGGTAGCAGATACACGTGCTTATATAAAATCCCATCTCTCAAAGTGTATTAAATTGCTTTCAACTGGAGTGCTCAAGCATCTGATTTGCTACTAGGCAACGTTCCACATGTAAGGTACTAAATAAACGGAGTCATTTATGTGTCACCATCTTCGGTAATAGCCATTACGGGAGTCTTCTGAATACTAGGTATGGGGAGTATCTCGACCCAAACCTTGTGACTGAGATGTGTAAAGTTCGAGGAACCCAATTTGCTCAATGCGTCTGCCCTTTTGTTTCTCGATCGTACAACGTGAGAAATAATGCACTCCTCAAACTTATCTTTTAATTCGAGGACCTTCCTGAGTTATTGTCTGAGCTGCTCATCATTTGCCGTATAATTACCCAGGATCTGATTTACTACTACTTGAGAGTCGCTATAAACTTGGATTTTTTGAACCCCCAGCTTTAGAGCCATGTTTAACCCAGCTATTAATGCTTCATATTCAGCCACGTTGTTAGTAACTGGGAATCCGAATCTCAATGCGTAAGTGTACTTCGTGTCATACTCTTTCATGTTATCGATCTCAGGATCAGCTGATGGTTTCGCCAATATGATACCGGCTCCCCCTCCCCAGTCACAACGGGAGCCGTCGACGTATAACGTCCAGGGTCGATGGTTGACATTGACGCAGGTAGTAGGGTGACTCTTAGGCTTCGCGTCTTCTGGGACGTCAGTAGTTCGAGGCATTTCTACAAGGAAGTCTGCGAAAGATTGACCCTTGATTGTCGTTCTTGGCTTATACTCGATATGGTGCTCCCCCAACTCAACTGCCCATTTCATCATTCTACTAAAAGTTTCTGGCTTGAGAAGAACTTGTTGAATGGGTTGTTCTGTTAACACCCATATCGGATGTGCTTGGAAGTATGGACGCAGGCGTCGAGCAGCCATAACCAAACTCAAGATAAGTCTCTCTATGGGCATGTATCATGTCTCTGCACCTTGTAACACTTTACTAACAAAGTAAATAGGAATCTCCTTCCATCCTTCTTTTGGACTAGGACGGCTGAAATGGCATTTTCTCGAGCAGCAAGGTATATATATAAGGTCTCCCCCGGTTCTAGCTTGGCCAATATAGGCATCTGTTTAAGATGATTCTTTAGCTCCTGGAAAGCTTTTTGGCATTCCTCGTTCCACTCAAACTTTCTGCCTTTGTGGAGTGTGTGGACGAATGGGAGACTTCTTTCTACAACTCGAGAAAGGAATCTGTTTAAGGCCGCCAAGGATCCTGTGAGTTTATGAACTTCTTATACATTCTTCGGGGCTTCCATAGCTAGGATCACCTCAATTTTTGCTAGATCAACACTGATTCCATCTTTGGATACGTGTTTTAACCCGAGGAACTTTACCGATCCTATGCAAAAGGCACATTTTTTTGGGTTAAGTTTCATATTAACCTTGCGGAGAATCAAGAAGATCTCGCGCATATCCTTGACTACTTGCTCATCTCTGTTGCTCTTGATCACCATATCGTTCGCATATATCTCGATGTTTCGGCCAATCTGGTCATGGAATGCTTGATTGACGAGGCGTTGATAGGTTGCAATGGCATTCTTCAATCCAAAAGGCATCTACTCCGATCTCGGTGATATTGGCTGTCTTCTCTGCACCTTCTCGTGCCATAAGGATCTGGTAGTATCCTTTATAGGCATCAAGGAAACTGAGGGTCCTATACCCAGTGAACCCTTGACTAATATGATCTATGACAGGTAAGGGATAGTAAACCTTGGGGCAATGTTTGTTGAGATCCGTGTAATCTTGGCACATGCGCCAAGAGTTATCAGGCTTCCGTACTAGGACTGGGTTAGCCAACCAAGTAGGCCAAAGAACTTTCCGGAGGATATTAGCATGAACCAGCTTTAACGTTTCTTCATTGATGACGTCATTGCGGTTTCGAGCAAATATTCTCTTCTTCTGTTGTACGGGTTTAACATTGGGATCAATATTCAACGTGTTCAATAACTTCTCGTAGTACTCTTGTCATATCTGTAGGTGACCAGGCAAATATATCACGGAACTCATGTAGCAAGGCGATTACCTCGACTAGCAACACTCCTTGAGATGTTATACCTATCTGGATGGTCTTGGAGGGATCCTTCTCGTTAAGAACAGCTCCTGTGTTTTGCTACTAAGTGGTGGCATGCAGTTAATGTCGCGATCCTCCGGCCGTGATTGTACTGCTGCTTGTTGGACCGAGTAGCATCCCGACATGGCAGTGCTTGGGTTAGACTTTACGGCTTTCTTCCCAATCTTGACAGCTGTGAGTAAGCATTCTCGAGAACTGCGCTAATATCCTTGCACTACTCCAACTCCATATTCTGTAGGAAATTTCATCACTAGGTGATAAGGAGACCAAATTGCTGAGGCTTGGCTCATCCAAGGTCGTCCCATGATCACAATAAATGGCGAGGGTGCATCTATTAAGGCGAAATCCATGGTTAATGTAACTATTATGGGATGCGACCCTACCGTGATGGGGAAACTTATGATTCTGGTTGGAATAATAGTGTTTCCCGAGAAGCCATCAATGGCATCATTGCTGGGTGGATATTAAGGTTTTGAATGCTCATCTTTTTGAAGCAATCGCTGTAGATGATGTCGACTGCACTGCCGTTGTCCACATAAACCTGACTGACTTGCACATTTCCGACTATCACCTCGATAACCATGGCATCACTATGTGGACAGATATCCGTCGCTGTCAGTGAAGACTATGGCCTCTGTCCCTTTAAACCTCTTGTGACTAGGTTCCTGACGGGGAGTTTTTGTGGCAGTCCGCACTGAGTTTTTCATGGCCGTGGTAGATAAAACTTCGAGAGGAGCTCCATAAATGGACCCACCTGGTGGGTGATCTGCTTGGTAGGATCCGCCGGAGGGATATGCTGAAGCTGTTGTGGGGCTCCCTCGATAGTTTGTTTAGGAGGTTGTTGCGTATTGTTCCTCGGTTGCCAATTATTCCCTCGGCTTTCTACTCGAGGACCTCTAAAATTCCATTTAGGGAAACTTCGAGATGTACTAGGCTTGCTGTTTCTTTGTCGAGAGGGTCCTTGCACATATTGTTGGAATTTGCCAGACTTAACTCCATTCTCGATTTGCCTCTTGAGTTCTCAGCCATCCTTAGTATCATGGCCGTGGTCTTTGTGGTATTCACAATACTGTTCCATAGGCCTATTTGGATTGGGCGCCAAGGGTTTTGGGGCAGGTAACTCGTCCTTGTGGATCTGGAGGATTTCTCGACGTAGCTTAGTGAAAGGCGTCAACTGCCTATTGAGTTTAGGCAATGTTGTCCTACTTTCCGTGTTAACCCTTAGTTTGTCTCTTGGCCCTACTGCCGTGAAAGATGCTTGTGATCTCTTGAGTGTGTGCTCTCATTGAATATGATTCTCGACAATAGCCACATCTCTTGGGAATTCCTAGGAGGTTTAGTCGAGAGTTTTACTCTTAGCATTGAGAATTTTCCAAATGGATTGAGCTCTTGGATAAAACCATTCTGGACATCCTGTTCATCTATGTTGTCAACTTATAAGGTTCCGCGCATGAAACGCCGATGGAAGTCTGAGAGACTTTCATTTTGACCCTGCTTGATCAAGGAAAGGTCAATGGACATTCTAGAGATTTGCTTACTCTGAAAGAACCGAGTTGCCAATTTGACGGATAAGTCCTCGAAACTGATTATACTTCCTTCTGGTAATTGTCCAAACCACCGCTATGCTTGCCCGGTTAGGTAGGAGGGTAGAGCTTTAGCCATAAAATTCAACGATGCATTCCTGATCCTCATGACCTGGACATACCCCTGCAGCCACTGGGAGACATCCATATCTCCTGAGTATTTGGTGAAGTGTTTGGGGAAGTGAAGTCCTGGGGCTTTGGCTCATCTCGAATGTCTGGTATAAAGGGGCTCCGGTCCACGACCATTCCAATGATTTTTCTCATCTCGTCTCGGATCGAAACATTCTGGCCCTTTACTCTTTGCTGACCTCGAGGAAGATAAGGTGGAATTCCCTCGTGATTGTTGTGTTGTTGCCGCCTGGGAGGTGAATACTGAAGATGACGGTAATGCCCCCGCCCATAATCTTTTCCAGTATTGCCGTCGTCTCGATACTGTCCGTGGAAGGGTAGGTATTCCTCCCTTCGAGGACTTTTTCGATGCCAGTTGGGTCACAGTCGATCATGAACATTAGTCCTTCTTAGAGGGTTCCACTCTCCTCCTTCCACAACTTCGACGCTTGGGGATCCTCATCGATAGTGGTCCCGAGGATTCTTGCACCTGTATACCGCATCAAATTCTTCGATGGCCATATCAAAGGCTGGATATTTCTTTCTAAAAGCGCCCTAATAAATGGTATCTCGAGTGGAGGTTGAATGATTATCCGGGATGCCTTTGCGATCTGAATACTCTAGATAATCCTCTTCCTCCTGGACTTTCCGCTTACCTTATTTCTTTTCAAGAAGGGCTATGGTGCGGCGGGCTTCCTTCTTGTCGATCAAGTAAACCAACTCTTGTTCAGTTGGGTCAGGCTTCCCGAGGAGATAGTGACGCCTTGTTTCCTCGAGAACATATCTTTCCATCATTTGGTTTTGATCATTGTCATCCCGTAGCTTTTTGAGTTTAGCCTCAATTTTGGCCAATTTCTGATCCTCCAAGTGCTTCTTGGATGCTGTGGTATTTCGAGGAGGAGGCAAATCCTCCTTCTCTGTTGCGGGATTTGCCTTGTCTAGTTTTCTTAGATTAGGCTGTGAACAATCGAGGATCATACGTTCCTTCTCTGGTTCTTTTTCGGGTCCTCTTTCATGGCTCTTTCTCACCTTCTTTCTTTCTTGTCTTCGTTGGAATTCTGCCAAGGTAGTGTCATCGGCTGAACTGCGCCGCCTACCGGAAGATGCCGTGCTGCTCGCGTCTTCTTCAACCCTGGCCATTGTGTTGATAGTCCCAGAAATCCTAAGTTGCATCGAAAAAGGTTAGGGAAACATGAAAAGGTTTTCATGACACAAACCCTAGTTTTCGGGTCCCACCGGGTGTGTTACTTGACGAAGCTTGGTTTTACACTGCCGGTTTGGTAGTGAAACTCCGGCTAGGGTTTCCTGCAAAAGAAGGCCTCGGTGGTCTCCCGAGGGTAGATACTCTGATGCTTAAGTCAGAAAAGGGTTTTAAGAATGTATGAGAATAGTATTATGCGCTAGAGATCGCGTACCTCCATTGTGACATAACCAACCCTATTTATAGGCATGAAGTTATCTGGGAGATAACCGAGTCCTATTAGGTTTCGTGTTGCTCAAACCGGCTTAACAGAATCGGTTGGGCTCTTTACTCGGTTGATGGGCCAGTCCAATATTAGTGATGGATATGGACTCGTCATAGAGCAAAATTTCTGAAAGTGCTGCCATCGGTTTTTGATCTTTACTGGTTTGTTCGTATTAGGTTATGTTTGGGTTATATGTGTGTCATGTTAATTTGATGCTTGCTGTTTATAGGATCATTATAGATTTGCCTTTTCGAGACGGATTGCCGTTTTATGAAAGATTCTACATTTTATAACTTAAGAGCTGTTTGTATATTCATAGACATTGCTACACGTTATGTAGAAAAGCAAATCATATTTTTAATTTACATTGTAAGAGTATCAAATCCATATCCTTTATCCTAAAAGAGTTTAGAGTTGATAAATATATATTTAACAACTTTGTGAGCTAATGAATCAAGAAACTTGGTGCGGCTGAATTAATCTAATATTAAGTATTCATTTTTGTAATTAATTCGTTTTGGAACTTGCCAATTGTCACATTCTTGCTTTTGATTTTGCTCAAAGGGTCTCTTTCAGATCAGGGATACAATAATTTTGTGATTTCTTGAAGGAAATAAGTGGATTGGTGGCTGAAGTATTTCAGCAAAGATATACCACACAAGTAATTCGAAATTTATTTAATATGTTTTAGGTACTATCTGATTTTTTTGTGAAGAAAATATGGCTCTTTTCTCTTCCCATACCGCCGCTCTCTACCAAAAGGAACAATATTCAACTCTGTCATCTCCATACCTTCCTGCAATTTTCTGTGCTATCATCATATTCTTATTTGGATTTCTGGGATGTTAGTGCAGCCCAGAGAACCTATGTTACCTGGACTTGGATACGGGTGTCATATCGGGTGCGGGGATCTGAGTGTCCAACTCGTCAATATTTTAGAAATCATGGATATTTTAGGCTAAAATATCACAGTCGACACTCATACCACACCAGTGTCGACACAACATGATACGGGTATTCTCCACAAATAGAAGAGTCCGGGTAACATAGCAGAGAACTACTGAAGGTTAAACCTGACGTTTTCAAGCTTATGCATATCTCTCAGGCAGCTTTGGGTGAAGTGAAGAGTGATAAGGGTGTCTATAAGATTCTCTTTCGTCTGAAAAATTATTATAAAAGATTTTTCCATGAGGACTCTTTCGGCTCCGGCCTCCTGATGATAGCAGTCTCGTAGATGAAGCAAATTTTGTTAATACAACCATCAAATAAGAAAGTACGAAGATAATTTGTCTATCCCGTGAAACTCAAAAGAGTGCGGAAAATTCACAGTAAGACGATCGTTTATCTAAGGATTTCTATCTCTTAACTCAAACCAAGCAAAGAACACATTATCTATGAAAGATTCAAATTAAACAACAACCCACACTAAGAATTATAAGGACACCATTCAATATACTCGATCAGTCATCATTCAAGAGACTCAAGAAAGGTAGGAGCAAACAATGCTCAACTATGAAGGAATACTATTGATTAGTAATCTCCATAACCAACAAAGATATGCAACACATACACTATCTCAAAATACTTATGCCAAAGCACAACTCATCCAACAAAAGTAGGACAAACCCCACAATGGAACTCATGAACACACAAATCATGAATTCGAAAACCAAGCCAAAAGAAAGGCTCATCAATCAAACTACTAGAAGTAGTATGAAAATAAGAAGTTTAGTTTTAAAACAATTCTATCAAGAAGTATACCTGAAAAAAAGAACGGTTTCTGTAAGATCAAAAGATCTAAGACAAGATGAAAACCCTTTTGGTTAAATCATACTTGACACGAAAAATGTACACACCATTTAACAAAAATTCTTCACAGGAAAAACTCTCAAAAGAGACAACAAAAATGACCACTCAAGGGTGCTTTAATTTTCGGCCATCCTACCCTATTTATAGGCTAATAATTTCGGCCAGCACCAAGAAAAGAAGACCAACTAGCACTCTCTAATCTTATCTCACCGCAAGAGTAGAAGTAGAAGAGTATTTGATCTCTTTGACTCTACCTAAAATCTAGGAAACCATATCTAAATGACTTATTCTCAAATAGGATAATACTTGTAAGGAATCTAAGACTCCTAATCAAAACACTCTAGCTTAATTCAGTCCACATGACTTATTTGACTAGATAAAATTTAAAAATTAAACTCCTAGACTTAGACAAACTCTAATCTCGAAATTCAGCTCTAAATATTGAAGTAAAATGTCTTGAACGCCCTTCCAAAAGTGGAATATTGGTCTTGCGCCCTTTAAGTTGTAGGAAACTCCAATTTACTCCAAAACTTGTAGAATCCTCTTTATTAACTCCAAAAGATTGGAAAAACACTTGAAACAATTTAGATAGTTTGCAACCTATCCAATTGTGTAGCAATGGACTCAATCTTGAACACTTTGATCAAATAGGCCGTCCATTCAAGAATTTAAATGATTCTTCTCTCTAGCTTGATCAATGATCTTCATGGAGCACCTAGAGTCAAACTTCTTTGATACTCTTGAGCACTTAATTCCATGAGTGAATCATCTCCTTTGGTTTGAACCCCAAAATTAATGACATTCTAATCACCTTGATCATAGCTCTCTTGAACCAACTCCTTATCACATAGGTAATCAAGATCCATCATTTCTTCCTTGATTGGCCTGCAAAGTAAACTTGGCATTCCAAAGCTAGAATGAAGGACTAGCTCATTCCCCTCATTAGGAGAATCACCATGGAAGGCTATATGATTCTCATCACCTGATATGCCTCAAGTTTTGTTTGATTCAGTTTTAGACAAAGAGTTTGAGGTGTCTCATGATTGGAAAGAAGGGAGCGGCTACTTGCTTGAATATGTGGGTGAGGAAGATGATACTCCTGGTGATGATGTACCAGACTGGAGAGAAAGATACGCAAGTTGATACTCCCCAAAAGAATGAAGTTGAGCTTGAGAAGCCAGCTTAGAAAACTGGATCAACATGAGAGGACTGAGGAGTCAAGTTTTGATTCCATTCCTCATCATACCGGGTGTCACCTCGAGTTGCAATTTTGACGACCTTCTCTCTCAGAGGCTACATGGTTTCGACCATTTTGACTGCAATATTTTCGAGCCTGTTTCAATGCTTATCTTTACGAGGACAAGGAGTTTGTTTGAAATCTTACATGAGGGAATATGATTTGTCTTGGTTGCAAATGAATCTGGCAAGAGGATTGTGCTTGCTATTTTACTAGGAGCGGGTGGTTTTAAGAGGTATTTTTTTTGAGGAGTCTTACTTGAGGGAAGATAATTTTTTATTTATTATTTAATTACTTTTTGTGTTAACTGAAAATGTTGGCTCCTCCACTAGGAAAGATCCATATCGAAAAGAGATGGTAAATTATTCTTTGAGGTACATCTATGAATTATAAACGTGTTTTTAATGGTTGCAATGCTTTATTTTTTTTCCCTTCCCCCTCTTAATCTACTCTGCATTTGGGATGTCACCTAATGATGGGTTGTTCCTTGTGCGGATTTGAGTAGCAAAATTAAGCCCATGGATAAGAAATGGAGAAAAGAATGTGATGCGAAGATGAATTCTGCTATAGATTTTGAAGCTTAAAATATGCAAAAGTGCAATAGGCTGAAGTAGAATCCATGATCCATGTTCAGGGAATCATTAAATACTCAAATTGTTGTGTAATCATTTTAGGTGAAGGATGGGATCTAATTATTAAACCACGACTTTTTTTTGATGGAGTTCTTTCTAATTAGTATCCTCACTTCTAATGTGAAAACAACCAAACACATTGTTTTGGCATTTCACTTTTCCTTTTTGTGGTCATGGAATCATGGTTTAGTTTAAATTTGGGACAAAATGTATTTTTGGTCCCTAAACTATTGGAGGTCACAACTTCTGGTCACCATTAATTTTTTACCGACAAAATTAGTCATCTTTTTTTAGTTTATTTAACAACATTAGTCAATTTAACAGTCAAACCTTTTCTCCGTGAGGTATTTTAATTTTTATTAATTTTTTACTTAACTCGCAATATATTTTCAAACAACAAAATCAGTAACATAATATCTTTATTTTCAATAATTTTAGTCACTTTGATAGAATTTTCAAAAATTAAATGGCCAACTCAATTTTCTTTTAAATCTTAATTTTTTATTTATTACTTAATGAATCATGGGTCCCACAGGTCCTTGATCATAATTTTTTTTAAAAAATAAATTAAACGAATAATGAAAATATTTCCGACCAACTTCCTAAACCCCAAATATTCTGCTCTCCGAGAAATAAATTTCGAAAAAAAAAAAACCGACAACGAAAACAATCAATAATGAGGCTCCTTTTCTGGGCTACTTTGCTGGCGAGGAGGTGATGGTGAGATGTTCGGGAGCAGTATGAGGTTTAGGAAGTTGGTCGAAAATACTTTTATTATTCTTTTAACTTAGTTTTTTCAAGAAAAAATATGATCAAAGATTTGTGGGACCCACAATCCATTAAGTAATCAATAAAAATAAAAATTTATACGAAAATTAAATTGGACAATTAAATTTTTGAAAATTCTGTTAAAGTGACTAAAATAGTTGGAAGAAAAAAGATATTAGGGGACTGATTTTATTGTTTGAAAATACATTATCAATTCTAGTTTAGTAAAAAATTAATAAAAAATAAAAAATTTAACGGAGAAAAAGGTTGACTGTTAGTTGACCGTTAAATTAATTAAAACTGTCGAATAAACGAAAAGGTGATGATTAATTTTATCAGTAAAAAATTAATAGTTACCAGAAGTTATGACCTTCCTATAGTTTAGTGACTAAAAGTGCATTTTGTCCTTATATTTGTATATATTAAACCTCTGAATTAGTTACCAATTCCCAAGAATCATCGTCTAATCCTTTATTTTTTTTATTTTTTAAAAAAAATCCATCCCAATAGACCTCATTTAAATGTGAGTATAAACCCCCCTTACAACCCTTGATAGCAATCGAATCTGGTCTATCACCAAAAAAGATAGCAACCTAACCACTAGAGTGTTATTCAAAGAATATGATTTTGGGATGAGATAAAGAGTAAAGACCACATTTATAAGAGCAAAGAATGAGAAAACAAGTTTCTACTTCTTTTTGTTTTCAGAGTTTCCACTCCATGGACCATGAAAAAATACAATATGCAAATTACTCTTTCTTTCTGTTTGTAAAGACATACATTGCAATACCTCTCTTTAAAGGAAAAAAAAAAAGACGTTTTTTACCTCAAGAAGGATTAAAATTATTTGATTTACACTAAGTATGCAGAAAAGAGGAAAAACAGATGCCGAAAAGGGGGGGAGAGGGCCTGCTGCAGAAAAAATCATTTCAAGGGAGTAACCGTGAAAAATAGGGGAAAATTTTCATAAAGGGCATTGGAGAGATTAAAATTAGTATCAAGGGCATTAGATTTATTTAATTATTTTTGATATTTTTTCCTTTTTTAAATGACTTCTTTATCCCTTCCATTATTTATTCTTTTATTTTCTGGTCATGATCCTGAAATGAACGATAAAAGCTCCTAATCATTCTCCATTTTCCTGCATAATTCATCGTGAAATCATCATCACCGTAAGGCCAAAAGGCAATCTCAACTTAGGAGGCTCGATCAATGGTGAGTCCAAATTAAATGAAACTATGAATGAAATAAGAATGAGAACCAAGAAGGCCATTCAAATTCATAGGAGCTCTATAAATTTATCCCAATGTCAAATCCCGAGGTAAAATATAACTAAAAATTTTGGCAAAATCTAGATCTACCATAGAGGAGAGCAACGTAATCGCAAGCTCTCAGATACTTATTTTGACCAGATTATGAAACTCTGCCAGGCAGTTATTATCACTCAACTGAATTCCCGTAATTCAAAATTAATCATTAAACTATAAAAACCATGTTAGTATAAAACTTTTCTCGGATAAAATTCCCTTTTGAAATTAAAGAATTATCATCTCAATAAAATATGCAAATTTAGTAGGACTCATTTATTTTTTATAATAACTAGATGGGATTAGACGCGCTTTGGGATGCGCTATATTTAATGACGTAATATAAATTATGTAAAAGAAAAAATAAATATTTAATAATTAAAATTATAATTCACGTTGTTGTCCAATATACTATCTACAAAGTATAAATAATATTAGGGGTGTTCATGTCCAATATACTATCTACAAAATATAAATAATATTAAATATATTAACAAATTTATCGGCAGTGAAAAACTTTTATCTCTTACATTGTAAGAGTAAAATGACGTCATGAAAATGTGTTACTTTTGATTTTAACAAAGGTAAAACATAGTATTTTGATTGAAAAAAAAAAGGGGGATGAATAGTAAAAAAATAAATAAAATCAAGTTTCTGTATTAAAAAATAATTAAAAGAAAGAAGGAAAAAAAATCAAAACAAAAACTAATATTTGAGAAGAAAAAGACAGAGATTAACAATGAAAGATGATACCTCCGATAGACTTGAGATTGAGAGGTAAAGTAAAGACTTGAAAGAAAGAAAAGGAACAAGTGACAAATCTTACACCCTTTATAAACATATATAGGTAAATTAGACTTTATGGTTTTTAATATTCTTTTGTGTTATTAAACAGTCTAAGCTATCATGGATGAACTTGCTAAATTCAAAAGAAAGACATTAAACATCAAAACTGTTAGAATCACCGAAACCGTTTTTTTATAAACCTAACAATGCAAAATGATTTTTTTGTAATCATAAAAATAAAAATTAATAGTTGAAATCACGAAAACCATTTTTGAGACTGGTCGAATTCTCCTAAAAATGAGAAATAGTCTTCTTATAATCTTAGAAGGGAAAATCAATAGAGGCGATATCAAAGGTTCATTATCATTTAATAATAAAGGAGAATTTATTATCATAAAATAGACACAATAACTTAAAATCTTATAGATTTTTAGAGCAATTTATGAAAGACTTACTAATTCCAATATCAGATTTCACAATTAAAGAGTTAACAATTGTTTTGTGATTGCGCTGCTATTTGATCATCGAGGATGTGATAGTTTAAATAAGACTAAAACACATGACAGCTCTAAAAATGAAACATTTTATCAGCTTTGACGGGAATCTGGCTGAGTATAATGGCTATTAAAAGATCCATAAGTAAGTGGAGGAGATAAAGGGGTTGTGAAAATAAAATAAAGTTTAAATGTTGTGTGATAATTATAGTAAAAATAAATAAAAGAGATGAAATAGTTATAATATTAAAAACTAATTTAAATGATGTATGATAATTAAAGTAGATAACTACCGAAAAACTCAAACCTATAATATAAGAGGTAGATGAGTTTGAAACCCCATCCTTACATATAAATGAGCAGATTGGCTTTGATACTGAACAACCATCTCTATCATAAGTTGAACTAAATGTGAAAACATTGATAAAAAATTATGACAAAAACAAAAAAATAATGATTACAAAACAACCAGAAATAAAACTTATGCTAAAACAACTACGACGAAACGTTAAAAATTTTTTTGAAAAAAATATACAAACTTTAATCCGAAAAAAATGAACAGGATGGCTTTGGCATTAGCAAAAAGGTCCAAAAAGATATTAATGGAGAAAAATTTAGTTGAATGATATTCTTTAAGGGGTAAAAAGATACTCCTACTCTCATATTTTAAACAAAATATTTATGACAATAAGTAAGTTAAAGTAAAAATAAATTATTAGATAGATAATGAAAAACAACTAAATCAAACGAACAAACAGATTGAAAAAATAATAAAATAAATTACTATATATTTTATAAAAATACAAAATCTATGAAAAAAAAATATTAACAATTTTTACTTCGCTTGTGTTTTAATGTATATATGTGTATGTTCTCCCCGTCCATCGAACGGGTCTAACACCTAATTACTATGTTATTGCAATTTAAGAAGCAGATTAAGATTGTCACTTCTAATGGTGCTAAATCACTAGTAATAACTCATTCTTAAAGCAAGTCTTGGCGGTGACGTAAAGATGTACATCGAAAACATATACTTCTATCTATTTACAATGAGATTTGAAAATCCAAAAAAAATGCAATGGAAAGAAGGGAAACACTTACGTATATAGAGAAACCAATAATGTACTTTTTATCTGCATTGAAAACATCCAAACTAGTAGCAAAACTGCTGGCTTTATTTATAATCCTAGCAGCAATTGCAACAAGTAAATATTCGATCTGCATTTTTAAGAAGTTTGCCTTGGATCAAACACAACTAAACACTTATGCAGCTTTCCAAGAAGATAGAGGTGGAGTGTCAGAGTTGACCCATGTGAAATGCATAAAGGCGTGTCTCTCACCCTTCACCACATCAAGGGAAGCATAGGACTCGAGTTCAGCCATCTCTTCTGGTGTTAATTTCACAGACAAAGCACCGAGATTCTGATTGAAGTTCTCAATCTTGGTGGTACCCGGGATGGGAACCACATCATCTCCTTGGTGATGGACCCAAGCCAAAGCCAGTTGTGCTGTGGTGCATCCTTTCCTTGCTGCCATTGCTGAAACGCGTTCATACACTTGTTTGTTATGCTCTAGATTTTCAGGTTTCAATCTTGGGAAATTCTGCAACAAAAAGTACAATATATCAGAACATGATAAAATGGTGCTCGTATGCATGAGACATCAACACTAGAAAAAAATATACAAATTGCTAGAGATTAAAAGAGCTCTTCCCAAAGTGATTACCAATTACCATGGACACAATTTAATAGCAATCAACACAAAAATAACCAAACTCTCGCACTATACGAATTTCTGATTCCCAACAACACAAAGGATGTACACGATTAAGAAAACAGTCCAGCTTTAACTAGTCAGACAAATGTTGTAGGCCCCTTGTCAAACAGACCCAAGGACCATAACAACTACATGTAAGAAAGTATAATATGCTTAGATCAGTACCACTTCTCTAATAAGTTTGATAAAGGTAACCCCTGTTATGGCTAAGGCACTGCAAGCGCAAGTTCATATAGGAAGTGAAATATGTATAAAACAACAGGCTGAGACTCCGGTTAATTACAAACACAATCACCAGCCAGATACACCATGGCTTTCTGCCTAATGAAGTAAACGGGATGGGAGGAAGTTGCAAGGCTTCAGAAAAGAAATCAGGGATCAAAGGATACATAAGAGTTGAGAAAAACCAGGACACTGCAATCCAGGTATTGGGACAGAAAAGCCAAATAACTGGGCATTTGATACAACTCAGTTTGACATTATCCTCGAAAAGCAGCATGTGCAAGCAGCCAATAGCAAAAACAACGAAGCTGAGGGAGATAATAGAGTGCACCCAGATGCAGTTTCTATGATCTCAGCTAATATTCAAAGTAGCGAAGGTTAAAAGGCCTAAAGGAAGATAGAAGCAATAGGAGAGCAGGAGGCTTGTTCATGCATAATCTTCTCAGGATCTTGAAGGAATTCCTGCCAGAAGACAGCTTCTCCAGAAAATGTGACTCAGGCAGATGTAGCATAAGTTGTTTAACCAGCATTTCTTAAAAAGCTTTTCACCTGAATGGTGAGGTTTTGAAAGAGAGAATGTCTCTGGAGGTTTTCCTCAGTACTCAAGACTTAAAAGTGCAAAATGAAAAATAACAAAATCAGAAGCCAAAGCGTTGAATTCGTAAAAAGGGTCAAGAAAATATTGATAATCATGTCCAGAATAACGCCACTTCTGGTAAACAAGGGCTTGGGGTGAAAGACAGAAGAAAGAAAATTGATGGGGGTCTAGTTTAAGGTGAAAAGAATTCCTTAATGACAATAATGACATGGGTTCCACTTATTCCACTTTTCCTGCTAAAAGAAAAATCGCAGTTGAATCAACAGGAAAGGAACTGAACAGCAAGGCAAAAGTGAAACTGAAAAGGTTCAATACTTCAATAAGAGCGACCTGGAGAGTCATCCAAGCTGAAGCAGAAAAAGTTCTTAAAGATAGGGAGTTTTTTCTAGTTTTCCCTCTAAAATGGAGGCACTTTCCTATTTAAAATGCAAGCTTGATGGAAATGACAAACATGTTGAAACGGGAAGTAGAGTAACTTTGTCATCCAAGACACTGTAGAAGATAATTATATGCATGTAGTGTGTGTAGCTCGTCAAAAATTGGGATGATAGAAACACTGGTCAGATATGCTAGGCTTTGGCAATTCTCTTTTGGCTTTCATATATTTCTGCTTTGAATTTTCTTTATCTTTTAAGAACTTTTTCATATCATTTTAAGCATTTTTAAGAGTAAGACGGAAAGCTTCCAGGGAGCATCTGGATGATAACAGCATGGCCTGGATACATGGTTTATGCATCGTATTCATTCACGGTATCTTGGTAGCTACTTTGCCGCTTAAAGAAGCTATACATTACATTGCATGTTTCAACTATAAATACTTATTAATTTAGACTCAAAGAAAATGGAAGTGAAGCATAAAATGTTGACATAGAGTTTTGCACCAACCTTGCGAGAGTCATTCTCTGTCAAGTTCTCCATCACTTTGGGCCCCGTTGAAAAGAATCCCCTGCCTAGAGGGCTGTAAGGGACAATCCCAATGCCAAGCTCCCTGCGAATGAAATCAATGGTGAGAATAGCAGCTCTAGATTTCCTAAAGATCAAAGAAGAAAAAGAAAAATACTTAACCTGCAAGTTGGAACAATTTCATCCTCCAAATCTCTAGACCACAATGACCACTCATTCTGTACAGCGGTAATTGGATGAACTGCATGAGCCCTCCTAATTGTCGAAGCATTGGCTTCAGATAGACCAATGTACTTAACTTTACCCTCTTCAACCAACTTCTTCATTTCTCCAACCTGTAAAGAGAATAAAACAGGAGAACAATAAAAAATTAAGAAAAAGAGACAAGAATGGATGTACTGATCCGTGCATCCTTCGCATGTAGAAAAACTTGATGAAAGAAAACCACGGGTGTAAGTAATACTAACTAAGCCAAGCATATGTTCATATGAACCCTCTTGAACTCACTCCAAAAGAGAAAGGAAAAATGAAACGTACCACATCAAACTATGGAAGACCCATAACATAGAAACTTGAACAAAAATGTTTTTGACAATAAAAAAGTAAATTGATTGTATCAACACTTTTCATGTCCTGGTCATTTCAAATAATGTAGCAAGGAGTACATGGTGCAAAACCAACGTCTAATAACAAAGTTAGAAAACTATAATGAACGACTAACCGTGACTTCAATAGGCGTGTGAGTATCAATGCGATGGACGTAATAAAGATCAATGTAATCAATACCAAGCCGTTTCAGACTGGCCTCACAACAAGCACGCACATACTCAGGATCACCACGGATAGTCATTTTCCCATCCGGAAAACTAATTCCAAACTTAGAAGCAATCTGAACCTTTTCTCTCCAGCCTCCTTGTAAAGCCTATGCCATTTGAATAAATTATTCAGTTAATAAGAACAAAGGCACAAATGAGCGGAAACAATATTCTTTTTCCACAACATATAAACTGAACAACGACCCCATGTTAACATGTCATCCATTTAACACCCTTTTCTATCTACCATTTTGTATCAGTGAAATTATTTGCATGTTCCTTATAAAATACACTTGATAAAGAAAAACAAAGCTATTCAAATTTTTTATTTCCCTAGGACGGATATAATATATGATCAACATCTGAACACTAACCAACTATAGGGAACAGACGGTCCAGTAAATGCTTTTTGTTTGATTTCATCAGTTTCCATCATAATCAACATCTTAACACTAACCAAGTATAGGGAACAGACATCCAGTAAATGCTTTTTATTTGATTTTATCAGTTTCCATTATGAGAAGGTGAAACACATCGAGTAGCAACTGAAAAAACATTTATTCTTCTTTTACACAGAATCCACAAACAGAAAATAAGCAGTACAGCTATAAAGGGACTGAAAATCACACTTCACAGATACAAAACTTCAAACCTGGTTGTTGCAATCCAAAAGCTAACAAAATTTAGCATCTCCGTCAGCTCTGATTCTACTTTAAAGGAACTGAAAAAGTTCTTGGGATTGTTTAATTTCTGCAAATATAAACTAAAATTTGTATGCAATTCCTTTTATTTAAGCAAGAAAATGCTTTTCTTCAACAACCCCAAGAGACCAATATGTCCACTGCTTATTAAAAACTAAATCAATCAAACATCCACAACCCTTTACACGAAAACGAAAACGACCAAAAATCGCATAACTGCTGGACCGAATCACAATTCAGATATTAGGAAAACATCGAATTTGCAAGATATTGCATAATTTGGAGATTACGTTGGATCAACTCAGCCATAGTTAACAAAGTAAATAACTAGATTTAACAAAAAAAAGAAAAAGTGTTCCAAGAAATTAGGAGGAATGAAAAATGGAAAGGATGGGAAGCCAGAGCATGCCTTTCCGATCAGGAGTTCGTTGGTGTGGGGCCCGTAGACGTCGGAGGTATCAAGGAATGTGACGCCGGAGTTAATGGCATGGTGGATGAGCTGGATCATCTCCGGCTCCGGCTTAGGCAGGCCGTAATTGGAGGACATCCCCATGCATCCCAACCCCTGTTTCGAAACTTCCAAGCCCTGAGAACCCAACTTAACCCTCGGCACTTTCGTCAGAGCCGCCATTTTTCCGGCGATTTCTTTAGCTGAATTTAAGATTGAGTAGAGAACTGCGGAAGAGAAAAGGAGCACTGATAGTGTACCAGTTGGGGCTTTCCGTGAATATGTAAGAGGTTATCTTACATCATCGCTGAAGTCATATGTGGGGTCTATTGTCCACGCAATATAGATAACTCATGAGAATCCAAATTGGTTTTCCTTTCTTTTTTAACCTCTTCCTTCTATAATCATTTTACTCTTGCTTTCTAGATGTGGATTACGCTTATTAGGGAGTTATTGCTCTTCCCGCTGTGAAGGTTTTGCTCTTCCTTTTTTTGGTATTAATTTTCCTTTATGAAAGTTTCGATTCTTTCTTCCAATGTACTTTTGACAGGTATTCGCAAAAAAAAAAAAAAAAAATTATAGTTCATTGAAGAAATTAAAGATAAATGTGAGCCTGAATGATTTTGAAAATGAAGTACATTTGATACTTCTAGCTACATAGATCATTTTGAGTTACATTTGAAGTTTTAGAAGCCGTTCTTCTGTTTGATTTGAGTTAGATTCGAAGTTAGAAACGGCTGCAGCTCTTTTTAGTTTGATAACTGGCTCCAATTTGACATTGTTCAAGAGGTTAATTCTTCCATTGTAAAGCGGTACAAAGCGCTTACGGTCCGAGAATTCTTTGAACAAAAAGAGGCTTATATGGACGTATTTCAGGATTCACTTCCTCACATGATTGCGGTGATTAGATTACAGAGTCAATTGTTAACAACTCCTATGCCTATGCCTGAAGATTGCACTGATGTGATGACAAGTGGAAATGGTTTAAGGTAAATTTGAATTTATAATTATTTAATTATTTATTACTACTAAAATATTATTATAAAAAAATTAATTATGGTTGATTTTTCAGAATTGTATAGGAGCTATTGATGGTACTTATGTCGAAGTCAAGATAGCTGAAATTGATAAACCTCGGTACCGTAACAAGAAGGGTGATATCGATACAAACGTTTTAGGAGTATGTTCTCAAAACTTGCAATTTATTTACGTTCTTCCCGGTTGGGAAGGTTCAGCTGCTGATGGTAGGGTTTTAAGAGATGCTTTAAGTAGAAGAAACGGATTGCCAATATATGATGGTAAGTAGAAGTGATTTGATAGGTTCCTTTAATTATTTTAATATACTTTTACACTATTATTTTAATATACTTTTACACTAATCATAAAGTTATTTAATTATTTTAATATACTTTTACACTATTAAAATTAATTTCCTTCTTTCTAGGATATTACTATCTTGCTAATGCTGGATATACTAATGGCAAGGGATTTCTTGCCCCATTTAAAGGCCAAAGATATCATCTGTGTGAGTGAAGAACAGGATGTCAACCAAGTACGCCAGAGGAATTTTTCAATATGAAGCATTCATCAGCTAGGAATGTTATTGAGAGATGTTTTGGAATGCTTAAAATGCATTGGGAGATTATTAGAACCCAAATTTTTATCCAATTAAGACTCAGGGTACAATTATCATGGCATGTTGTCTTCTTCAAAACCATATAAGGTTAAATATGCCGATTGATCCTTTTGAAGGTGATGAGTTTGAGTTTAATGGTCAAGAAGAGTTTGAATTTGATGGTGATGTGATCTCAACAGTTGAACTAACAGAAGAATGGACAAACTGGAGGCAAAATTTAGCCAATCAAATGTTAAATTAATAGAGGCAAAACAGAAATAATCGCTAGAAGTCGTATTTATTTCTTAATACCTTTTTTCCTAGTTGTTATAAAATTAAAGTACATTTAGTAATAATAAATTGTCAAAATACGTTGTTTTTTTTTTATGTATGCATCATGATTTTTTCATGGCCAGAAAGGTAATTTTAAGTTTTATTTTTCACATTTATGATTTATACAATATTTCTCCATTACTTTTATATTTTTATTCAAGTATTTATTTTTTTTGTGAGTGACTTTTCTTAACATTCATTCTTACTTTTTTTTGTTATTGATAGATATGTCTCGCCAAGGGAAAGGTACCAACCATGTGTGGACTGCTGAAGAGGATGCAAAACTCATTGAATGTATGCTTCAGTTAAAGGGATGTGGGAGATTTAATGGTGAAAATGGAAATGGGCTGAGAAAGGGATATCAGAAAGAACTAGAGAGGATGTTACAAGAGAAACTACCTGAACATGGTTTGAAAGAGAAGCCACATATTGAATCTCGTTGCAAGACAATGAAGAAACAATATTATATGATTTGTGAAGTCCGAAATAATGGACAACTAAATGGTTTTGGTTGGGATGACCAAAAAAAATGTGTGACAGCAAGTGCAGATGTATGGGATGACTATTTGCGGGTAAGCATTAATTGTGTATTTTTATTTTATGGTCTTTAAAATTAAAAAGTATGACTTTTTTTTATGTTATATTCTAACAAAAAATTTTTCTCCACCAGGCTAATCCTGAATGCACATTCATAAATGGGATCAGGATAGAGCTAATGGGAACAATGCAGAAGTTCCTGCAGATATGGTTGAAGAAATAGTTAGAGAGGAAAATGTTGATCAAGAAGATGGTGAGGAATCTGACGGTGACGATGACCCCAATACACTGGCAGCCAATCCTGGAGGTGACTTCCAAAAATCCAGAAAGTAAGAGAAGAAGAAGTGCAAATGGTTTAATTTTGAGTTTAGAGTATTTGAATAATGCCTTCACAACTCAAATGCAAAAATCTGATGAGCAAATACTTAAAGTGGCAGAAAATTTTGCCGGAGGAGGTAATCAGAATGTGGACAATTGTCACAAACTAAATGAAGAGCTGCAAAAAGTGGATGTGCTGACAGCAGTAGAGAAACAACGAGCTACTATGAAACTTGTTCATGATCCAAATTTGTTGGACTACTTTTTCACTCTTGGCGCTGATGAGAAGGAGATTTTTCTGGTTGAGCTTCTGGTTTAATGAGTCAGGAGTTAAGTTGATTTCAATTATTTTTATTTTTTCATTTGAATTTATCATTAGAAAATTCATTTCTTGTTCTACTTAAAAAACAATGGTTGAATAATTATGTTAAGATTTTTTTTTGAAACGATTGAATAATTATGTTTGTTTAATAATAAGAATAATAATGTTATAAAATTTGTTAATTTTTTTTGAAAGTTTTGACGTTTATATATGCAGAAAATAATTAATACATATGAGGGAAGGTGACAGGTGAAAACAAAGAAAAAAATTCTTTCCATAATAAAGAAAGGGTAAATTTGACAAATTAATAGGTTAGATATTACATTCCGAAAAATTCATATACCATCCAAACACTACATTGGGAATGTCTATTATATTCCTGGTAACATTTTTTTTAACACCCAAACAAAAAAAGTGTTTTATTTTATTTTACTATCTTTGTCATTAAATTCCGAGCAATTATATTCCTCAAATACTTTCTTTTCCGATGAATTAAACAGGCCGTTAGAGTTTCCTTTTTGATTTGGACGTTATTTAATACTCCCATTCCTTTTGCAGTACAACTCAACAGGCTCGGTTTTGTGGCTTTTCCATCTAGATGCCCATTTTGCAAGTCGGATGATGAGACTATACAATATGTGTTTTTCCATTGTTTTCTCTCACGGCAAATGTGGGATCATTTCTCAACCCTAATTGGTTTGTCCATTCTGTGAGAATCAGGTTTATTTTCCTTTGGGTGTTGATATTGCTAAAACATAAATTAGTATCCAAAACATATTACTGTTTTTATGACAAAAATAGCCTTCTTTCAAATCAAATGGTTGCTCTCTTTCTCCATCTATTTTTCCAACCCTTTCTCCTTTATAACTAAGTGACGAGCTTTTCCTTTTTTTTTTAGGCAAACTATAATATTTCAAGTACTCAAAAAGTCAAGTGTTGTTTTTTTTTTAACTGCAATATATGAACTCTCAATCTAAAATAACAAAAGAATGCTTCCATAGTTTTTTTTTTCCATAGTGTTTTTTTTTTTTTACTACATAATTCATAACTTTTAATTTCTTGCTCCTGCCTTATTTCAAATCATGAAAATTACCCAATATTATAGTCATTTTGTTGCACAAAAAATTGCTACAAGTGCCAATTTAAATCCGTTTGATCGGTGCGACTTTCCTAATTTTTTTTTATTCATGTTTTTATCTTTGTATAAAACTTTTATGTATAATTTCACCGGATTATGATTCTGATTTAGGACAAAAAAAGCAAACTATTTTACCAAGACAAGCAAAATCATGTAGACAACCTTCTTTGAAAACAAAAACATAAATTAACAATTGAACTGATCATCATAATAATATAATATTGCTTATGAGAGTGAAGAAAACACAAATAACTTTTTTCTTAAATCGAAATATAAATTTACTTGAAGTTTTTGCTTTTCGTATTAGATTACGGAGATGGAGAGGAGCAACAAATTGGTAGTCAAAAATTTTATTTTTGTGGGATAGGGGTTCTCCAAAAAAAAAAAAGTACGTAGAAGGGAAGCTATTGACTTGCATAAGGATAATTTTGTCAAAAGGACAATAATTTATTTGGATACTAATTTATGTTTTGACAATAACACTATCATTTTCCTTTTTGCATGCATGGTACTCTTTAGGGAATTTCTCATCAGCACTTCCATCTATAATATCTCTTTTGTCTGCTTTTATTTTATGGGAATTATGGAAAGCTAGAAATGGCTTCTTGTATGATGGGATTCCATTTAATGCCAAATCAATTATATTCCTAATATAAGAGTATATCTCTAACCTTCTTCAAGTGCATGAAGTTTTTGCAAAAACAGACTCGGAGCTTCGGTTTCTTCAAGACATTTTCAAGGTGAAGGTTCTTCGGCTGAAAACTAAAAGTGTCAGAGTACTAAGATGCATGGATTTTTCCTCCTTTCAATAATTTTGCACTCAACATTGATGGATCATCACATGGATCTCCTGGAGAGGCTGGTTTAAGTTATATTATCAGGAATCATGAAGGAAACCTAATTGCAGCCGGATGCCAAGAACTAGGTCTTCGAAACAGTTTTGAAGCAGAAATGCAGGCGATGCTCATCGGACTTATGAAATGTGAAGAAATGCAATTACAACATGTTCAAGTAAGATTTGATAACAAAGCCCTAGTTTCATTTCTACAAAATAGATCCATTTCTCCTTGGAGGTATAAGGCTACGTTGAATCAAATAAGGGAAATCTTGGAAAAATATCCTTATACATTGGTGCATGTATACCGGGAAATAAATGCAGTAGCGGATTCTTTAGCGAAGATTGCTTCCACAGGAATATCGGTCACATATATACAGCACTCGCACCTTCCCAATTATACTCGTGGTCTGCTATTTCTGGATCAACAAGTTAGTCCATATCGACGAATAAAATAGCTCATTACATTAGTGATTAGGATCTCGTAAGTTCAGAGGAGCTGTTATGGGATTCTTGAATGATCTTTGTAAAACGGTCTCTTAGCATAATTTTATTTTTCAATTAAAGAACTGTCAGGGGATTATAGAATTCTGTGTAAGACAGTTTTTCGTTTTTTCTAAAATGTATCAGAACCGTCATGGAATTTTGGATCATCTTTGTACGACGGTTCTTCTCTTTGGGTAATTCTTAAGCACTGCTCTTTGTATCTTTTAATTTTAATTAATAAATGATATGCCTATATTTTACCAATTTATTATATCCCTAATTTGTGATTTTTACAATATATTTTGAGTACAAATATGCTATTTATATGATTTTATCTTTATTTGTAGGAATTGTACTCAAAAGGAGGAATTGTTGAAATTATGAGCTAAAATGAAGATAAAAGCAACTCAAAGGGAGAATTGAAGATTTGATAAATTGACAAGGAAGAAATTGAAGTACTTGAAAAATTGGAGGATTAAACAAGCAATTTCAGAATTGTTGTTTATGGAAATTGGCCGAACAACTATGGTTGTGTGGTTGATTTGGGATTGGAATTGGGTAGGAATTTTAATCCCAATATTATTTGGGAAACAAGTTTTCTTCCTCTCCAAGAAGTAGGGTTTTGACGAAAGCCTATAAAAGGAGGATTAGGGATTTATTTTTACAACGGGACTGAACCGAACTTCACCGAAACCCCAGCCCCCCTTCCTCCACCGGCGGCAGCCACCATTACCTCCACCGCTGCCCACCTTTCTCCTTGCCAACCTCCACCTTGTCTCCTCCCATCATCACCACGTATAATCACCTCAGCCGACCGCCGAGACCACCACCTTGACTTCCATCACCGCCGCTCTGCAACTCTCCACCACCAAACTCACGTCTTCGCACACGCAGCACCACCCTCACATCAAAACCAGCCCCCCACGCTGACCTCCACCTCTGCCTCACCACCGCAGCAACCAAGCATCACCGAAGCCTCCTTCATCTCTGTTCAAAGCCACCAGCACCATCATCAACCTCTCACGCATCATCATCTCCACTATCACACCGAATCACCCTCCCTTTCATCATCCACGCACGCACGGACTAGAAGCAAAGCAACATTGGCGTTCGGCGGACTTGTTTTGTTCCGGGTTCTTTTGTTCCATTGTTATATTAAATTTGAAAATAAAAATTGTGTAGATGATGTGTAGTAGCTAAATTATTTTATCTAGGGTTTTGGATGTAGCCGCCGTACTATTTAATTTAATTTAAGTTATGATTGTGACTTTTTCATTAATTAATATCTATTATTCTTGTTTTTCATCCATGTGAATACCTGATCAATATTTGCATGCTTTAAAGTGCTAGCTGAAGTAGCGAGAGTGGAAGGCTAGTATTAGTTTGTAGGAATAATAAACTTAGGTAGTGAGCCACGAGAGTAGGAACACCGCCTTTGCAACTAGTAATTCCAAAGTTCTTAATGTGCCTCTATTAATCCCTATAGTCACTAGAGTAGTCATAGGGTTAGTTTAAGTAAGAGGGTTATGACACGAGAGTGTATAATTCTTAAATTGGTGAATTGTCGTGAGATTAATGAGAGTCGAAAGACACATATCTATAGATTAAATTAAACTGAATAGTCGTTTGGTGAACCCTTTGCCCTAGGTTTTTCTTTTACTTATTTATATCTTTAAATAATTGCAATTGATAGTTAGGTTTAGATTAGTTTAAATTGATAAATTGTTAATCTAAATAATAATAAGAAATAATTTTAACCGGTACTTGGTAAGCTTCTCTGTGGGATCAACCCTGCTTTCTGCTTTACTACTAGTAATTGTATTAAGTAGGTAATTAATATTTGACTAGTGTGACAACAGCTTGTCAATAAAATCGGGAATACCCGCCAGGTACCGCCCCGAATTTTCTTTAAAGAAATGCCGTTTCTTTGCTGAGAATTAGATTCGGAATTCGGATTCTGAATTCAATGAGATGTTTATTTGAGGGGATTCATGATTCCCGTGAATGGCGGAATCCAAAAGATCCTATCCCACCTCTTCCCCATGATTCGACTGAATCAATTTTTGAATTTCTTTTCTAAAATACAAATACGTAGTCTTTGTTTGGACATCCTTTTTGTTTTTATTTTGTTTTAAATCTGAAAAGTGGTTTAAATTTAAAATGTTATGTATGATGAAAAACTTTGTTTGATAATGTTTAATAAAAAAATTATTTGGATGGTGGTTACGAAAAAAGTTGTTTGGATAATATTTTGGAATCAATAAAATACTATAAACATTACTAAACTATTGCAAAGTGTAGATTTTGATCACTGTTAAATTTCCAGTCTTTAAGAATTGATCACTACACTTTAATATTGCAAAAATAAACACGTGCCCATAGTTGTTTGTGTCTATGAATTAATGAAAAGTGATTTGCCTGATACATGACTTAACATATACAAATTTTTGATTTTGGTAACTATAATATTTTTATCCTAGAAAAGTTCACTACACTAATGAATATTGCAAAATTAAAATCGACCCCACAAATGTGCTTTTTCTGTATTTTCACGTGCATGGGACGATGTCTATGAAATACTTGTTTGGATTTTATTATAAAAGAGAAGTTCCAAGAACATTACTAAACAAAAGCAACGTTTTGATTTTGGTCCTGGAAAAATTTTAATATGATAAATGGTAAACTAATGAATGTTGGGGTTAATATCGACTCACATATAAAAGCTACACTAATGAATGTTGTAATTAATATCGACTCACATATGTGGCACAAATCTGTGTTTTGACGTGCACATAGTTGTTGCGGTGGTGTCTACCAAATAGTTGTTTGGATTGTATTATCAAAAGAATGATGTGCCAGAAACAATCCAAACAAATACAAAGTCTTTCTTTTGGTCACTGAAAATTTTAAGCCCAAAAATGGTCACTACACTAATGAATATTGCTAACATCCATCTCACATATGTGGCTGTGTGTGTTTTCATGTGCAGCGATTTGAGGTGATTCTAATCTGTGGTAGGAATTTGGGTGATGTAATCAATGGGGCAACTCATATAAAGATGGTTACAGTGTGCATAATCTAAAAGGAAGTTGTACTTGACTTTGTTGTTTTCATTTCATCGTAATGAACACTCCAGACGCTCCACATTGTAGATGCGGCCACAGATCCCTGATTTTAACATCATGGACTAATGCAAATCCGGATAGAAGATTTGTCCGAAGTCAGAATGCCGAGGTAATGGATTGTGATTAAAGTTAATCTTATATTTCTATTTTTTCCCCCTACGTATCTCCATGGAATCAAATTTAGAACGGTGACAAATGGTGAACATCAGCCCTGCTGGAATCAGAACCACATGGAGCTTGCCGACAGTGGAAATAGACCTAGAGAAGGCACTAATGGATCTGCACAAAGACAGAAGCTTAGCAGATGTTCTCCTCAACGAACTCTGTGACGATGAGGACGGCGACTTGAGGTGGGAACTCACAAAAATGGGAACCTCTTACCATTTTCCTTACAGCAAGCTCCATCCAGAAAATAAATTATGGTTCCACTTTATCTGCTCCAACATTATGCCTACAAAGTACATGACAAGAGTGACCGATGAAGTGGCAATACTTATTTATGCCATTAAAACCTCCACTCCAATTGATCTGGGCACCATTCTGAGACAGCAATTAACTCGATGCGTCACTGATGTTAAAGTTAAAAGCTGGTACCTGCCCGTGTTGGTAACAATGTTTCCAACACGGCATGAAAGCAATAAACACTTAGGACACGTGTTAGCTTCACATATTTTTTTTCCTGCCTAAATAAAAAATCTCAATGATTTGCTCAAAAAAATAGGCCATGTGGCATCTCTTATAAACCGGGTAGTATAAAAAATACAGTCCCGAAAAATACAGTCCCCAAAATATTAAAAAGATCATAATCACGTTAAATCCTCCCCAATATAAGGGATATACAGTCCAGGAAATAGATGTTCCCTTTTAACACTACTCAGTTTAAGGATTTCCCATCCTTTAAACTGATACATTGGAGTTTAAATTTTTTTTTAAAAAAACTACAATTATGATGAAGATCATTCGGATTATCTCTCCCTGATTCAAAGCCCTCCGAATTATCTCCCCCTGATTCAAACAGTCCCGAAAAATACAGTCCCCAAAATATTAAAAAGATCATAATCACGTTAAAATCCTCCCCAATATAAGGGATATACAGTCCAGAAAATAGATGTTCCCTTTTAACACTCCTCAGTTTAAGGATTTCCTATCCTTTAAACTGTTACATTGGAGTTTAAATTTTTTTTAAAAAACTACAATTATAATGAAGATCATCCGAATTATCTCTCCCTGATTCAAAGCCCTACAAAAGATGACAAAATTTTACAGTTACCATCTCCAAGCATTAACGAATCAAGCTATGTTGGTGTCCAGATTCATTTTCATCATAACCATCAGTAAAACTCAGAGCAGAAATCAATCAACATTTATACTCAAGATCATAAACCAAATTTCACCCAAAATTATGCATATGTATCCATGTATCCTGAATGCATATCCGATCATCATATTTTGGAAAATATAACATATTTTCTTGCCATTGATTATCAAACAACCATGCTTATCAAGGCTATGAAATATACCTGTATAAATATGTTTATATGGCACGAATTATAGCCACCAGTGAACCACCATCAAATAACGCTGAATCACCCCTTTCAGACTTTGGTACCTATCCTGCTCTTCATCACCTTTCAATGGCTGCTGCTCAGAGGTATACTGCAGACATTAACGGCTTGATAAGCACCAAAATTCCACACTTCAGAATCATAGTTCGTGTCCTGTCAATCTGGAAGGTGTACATGAAGGCAGATCAGAAAGAAATCAAGTCACTTGAACTCATATTCATTGATGCTCAGGTATTATATATTTCGATCTTTTAAGTCTTAAATTACTATGAAGTGTATAGAAACCAACTACATCACTATATACTAATCTCTTTTTCGAATATAGGGTGGAAAAATTCAGGCTACCATCCCTAAAAGCTTTATGGACAGTTTTATCAACTACTTCGAAGAAGGCTGTGTTCGGCAAATAGCATGTTTTCATCATGCTTTGAACATTGTTGGTGGTTACCATTGTTTAAAACACGAATACAAAATCGTGTTTGAACCTAACACCATTGTGGATACTGTGGATGCTGTTGTTGATTTGGATATTCCTAACCATGTATTTGAATTCACTCCTTTCGCTGAGATTTCAAATTTCATTGCAAATTTTGATTTCTGTTTTGGTATATATTTTCCATCCTTATATTATTACAGTTTCTGTTTTGTTATAATTAAACATGTGAATCTTCTAACACTTTTGTTTTATCCAGATGTTATTGGACATGTTATTGGTGTTAGTGAACCATTCATTGATGGGGAGAAGAAGAGGATATCTGTGGAGCTGGAGGATGAAAGGTACATTCTTAGATCTATTTTTAAAATATGATCATTATAGATTTCCAAACAGTATGTCATTAAGTTTTTTTATATCATGAAATTTTACACAGGGCTGACAGGTTGAAGATCACCCTGTGGAATGGAAATGCTGATGCCATTTCAGCAATGGTGGCTGATCATCCAGTAATGCCGGTAGTGCTTATTGTGCAATATGTGAAGTGCAAAAAGTGGAATTGTGAGTCATTTCATTTGCATCAAAATTAAACTTTTTATTTATTTAAATCCCCTGTTGCCAACTTCACTATTTTTTTTGTCTTTTAAATCTTAACAACAAGGGCTTCAGTCACCACTAATATGTACAATGGCAGAATCTTCCTAAATGACATGTCTATGCCTGCAATTTCTGACTACAAAATGAGGTTCTATTAAATAAATGTGTCTGTATACTATCTTTTGGCCAAGCATATTCTACCTATTTGTCCAAATTCATGTATTATTCGTATTTCATAGATTGGAGGATATTGAGGATAAAGATGCAAGTGTCCAGCGGATTTCTATACTTTCTAACATATCTGGATACAATACTTATGAAGACTTTGTGAAGGATGCATCAATGTTAACCCTCTCTGAGATTAAGGAGTTAGAGGAGGTAATGACATATTCAGAATGTTATCTTCAAAATCTTATGTGTATGTTGTAAGAATCTAACTATTAAGTTGATCTGAATTCAAACAGCCTTGCTATGTGGTTACTTTTGCTAAAATTACTGGATTGGTGAAAGAGTTTAAATGGTACTACTTAGGATGTAGAGACTGCAACAAGAAGGTGACAGAAATTGGTAAAGACACTGATACCAGGTTTGTATTATTGCCTAAAAGTAACCAACGTGGCAAGGGGAAAAAGGTCACCAGTGAAAACAATGGTGAAGGGATCAAGAAGTTCCTATGCAGCAAACATGGTGCTGTTTCTGTTGTTGCTCAAAAGTAAGATCATTATCATCACACAGAAATGATCATTTATGTGCCTGTATATTTCAGAAATTATTTTACACTTAATCACTATCTAATATTAATTTGGTTAATCCACGGACAGGTTCAAGATACAGGCAATTGTTGTTGATGGATCAGGCAGTGGTATAGTAACCTTATGGGACAGACAAGTTTACAATTTAATTAACAAGACTGCATCTGAACTCCTTGAAGAGGTATTAGTCTACATTTTTACTTACAGGATTAATAATCATTATGAATAGATTTTGATTGAAAATACCACAACTACAGGAACCAAGAGTCTATTATCCAAATAAGCTAAATGAGCTTAAAGGAAAAAAGTGTTTGTTCAAGCTTGATGTTTCACAGTTTAATATAAGGAACAGGGACAGTGAAATATCAGTTGCTAGGGTTAATACTGATGCTGCGATTATAAAACAGTACCTACAAGCTGTATCTGAAGATCTGGTAATTATCATTAAATATTCACTTTTGTTGACATTAATTTTATTTACCAGCAAAATAAAAAATAAGCAAATTGTAGAATGTCTCACATATCACATGTACTCTTTTTATGCTGTAATAATGCAGGAAATAGATGCAGAAACCAGTACTGAATTTGGGCTCAATATGACCCAAACAGATGACAGTACTGCAAAGGTGATCCGTCAACATGAAACATACGTTATGGACTACATATTACAAAATATATTCTAGATAACTGAAACATATATTTATTTACATGTCTTTTTTTGCAGACTGCTGTATCATGTACTGAGGATGTTAATATCCAGAATGCTGATGTTGGAACTCCTCTGGAAGATACTGCTGATAGTCCCCCACCAAAGAAGACTAAATCTACTCAGGACCCTGAGAGTGTCAAATCCCACCAGAACAAGTGTGTCAGGAAAATCTAAAGAAAATTCTATCGTCATGATCTTATTTGCGTTTGAATTTAAATTTTCAAATAAAAACTGCACTACATCAGATGTATGAAGTTGTTATCCCCAGACAGAACTTTCTTTTGATGGATTTTAACATTTTTTGTTTATAAGCACTTCAGTTTTGGTCCTTTTTTATCTCAATCAATTTTTGCCTCATGCAATACAAGGATTGGTCTTGATTGTTAAGCACTTCAGATTTTTAGATAGTTAGAGTGTGTTTTTAAATTTGCTTTTACAGAATGTTGAATGTTAAGTTCATTCCCTAAGGCTTAAAATTTGAAAACAAAGAGTATTTGGTAAGTTTCATGAAAGCAATGAACACTTTATCCACAATATAAAAATCAAATTTTAATAATCCGCATTTTAAAATTTTGAAAACTCAATCAAATATATCGACTATGAGGCAAAATAATTAAACCTACAAATATGTAATAGGAAGCTCAAGCACATTCATAGTAATCTGAAACGATCAAGCTCCTGCAAAGAGATGGATGACAGTCCACCGTATCCCTTTCAAGGGATGAACCCTTAAATCACCCAGGGAAGTATTCTGTTTTTCTTTTTCTTTTTCTTTTATCTTTTGTTTCTTTTAATTAGGTGCGCTTCTACGTTTTTCTATCCTGAGTCTATGCATCTAGAGTCCTTAGGATATATAGAGTCCACTTTGTATGATGATTTTTCTGATTACAGTTGAATTGCATGCTAAGTGTATGTGTATTTGTTCTTCCCCTGCATCTCTGTTGTAAGCATTGAGGATAATGCTTATTTGAAGTTTGGGGGAGGGATTTTCATGTGTTGCTTGTTTTAAGTTTTGACAAGATCAAATTTTCCAAAAAAAAAAAAAACATTTTTAAAGTTGTGTGCAACTGTGAACAAGTCTGTGTATATACAGTGTCAAAAGTCTATGATGATTAAAAATGTGCGGGAAATTTTGAAATTTTGGACACTTGTTGATTCACTTGAAGTCAGTCCCATAGTGTTTCACTTTCTCGAGCAGAATATGTCACTTGCCATAGTTAGAGTTCTGAACTTAATGCCAAAATCTGAATGCCTTAATTACATTGTTGTGATCTTATACTGGAGTCCACTTGTCTGAAACTTGGAGGGGACTGTAAACCTGAGTAAAGATTAAGGCAGTCTTTCGCATCATGGCAGACTCTATAAGAGCCCATGGTCGTTTGTAAAAGCCTCAAAACCTTGGGAAAGGGGAATGGTAGGCGGTTGAATTGAGCTGAAAAGAAAAATTCAGAATTCAGGGAAGTTAGGAAGAGTGTCCAATGAGGCAGTAGTACCCGTGAGTGTTTAGGTTTGGCAAACAAATAGAGAGAGTTCTCAGTCCTGATGACGAAATATGAGAAAAATGAATAAACTACCTTAAGTTGCTGAGGCACAGTGAGAAATCACTATTGAGAGTAAGTGGAAATATACTCTGGGTGAAATGCCCTAAGTTGCTAAGCCACTATGAATTAATATTATGTGGAAATATACTCTGGGTAGGGCCTGAGTGGGAAAGATCCAGAAGAAAAGCCATATGGACAAGGAGAAAAGGGCATGAGGGAGAATTAAGGTGTAGCCAATGTTGCTGCAGATTTGTGAGGAAGTCCTTAGAATCTAAAAATCCCAGTAAGAATAACCTAGTTGATGGCATGCAGGAAATAGGTATTGATCACAATACTGTTCATTTGTTCTTAAATTGGTTAAATCTTAGAACAGATGATAGGTAAAACTTGAACTCTGGCTGTGATATATGCACACACACTGAAGAACTGTGATGCATGCTTTTCTGTGATGAACAATGGTGTAAAATCTATCCAGTAAGGGACTTGAATTTGAGACTAATATTGATACAGTGTTGCATTTACTTCTGTTCATTTAGCCACATTCTTTTTCGATCACTGTCATTACTCTTATTCATGAAAAATTCAAAAATATCACTTCTTCTTTCTGAGTTAGTCTTTCTGTGTCTAGGTCATAGGAATGTAACTTGAATCTATTTGCTAGAGGATCAGCAACCCTCTAAGTTTGGGTCTGTTGCTTGAGGACGAGCAACACTTCAAGTTTGGGAGAATTTGATAACATAAAAATATATACTCTTTTAGCAGGTATTTGGTACTCATTTCTACTCATAATTTAGTATCAATTAGTTAGGATCGGTTTACTTTTGGGGTGATTTTGCAATTCAGGTATCTCAGAGTGCCAATGTGGAAAATTAGCATAAAGGAAGATCAAATTGCACAAAAAGGCATCAGAATGGATTGGATTGGAAGCTGATGGAAATTGAGCTACTGGAGTATCAAGCAGAGCTGAAGCAAGTGGAGAAATCCTTGCTGTGGAATGAAGATTGATAGCAGATGGACTCAAGTGGAAGAATCTGCAGCAACTACCTCAATAGAAGAAGAAGAAATGGCAGCTGCTCTGCTGCCAAGTTGCTGCTGCAGTTTCTGTTGCTGCTGTCAATCAGGAAGAGCCAAGGCTGAATTCTTGCTGCCAAAGGAAGGAATTGCTTCGTCATCACTGCAAGTTATGACATGCCCATCGTACAGAAATCAACACAATGAGTGGTGTCAAAATGCGCTAATATGCCATTCACAATTCACAAAGTACCCTGGTCATAACATCAGCATAGTACATATACACCAACCCCGGGTGCAAAATTAGGTTTAACAATACCATATATTGTTCAGAAGCATGTATGGAAACTATTGTTAGATTTCCTACGACTCAACATGATACTATTCTCATTTGCCACTTTTGTTGGATCTACTACTTTGTCCCTGCCATCCCTTTGATAGGTGGATAGTGTTGGGTTCCATACATATAAAACATGTTACGTAGCGGATAAAAACAAGAACCCTAGCCATAGATCTATGGAATTATTATCACAGTAACGGTATCGAATACCTTTCACCGAAGACTGCTTGTACACAACTTGAATCACGAGAGAGCAAGGATAGTTCTCCTCTACTAGTATCCACTCGATCGTTGGATTTTTTTGGGCATCTCACTCGACGACTTGCTAGCGACAGCGAAGTAGATGCGACTCTGACTCACACACGAATTCAGATGACAGGAAGTTATTAGGGTTTTTCCAATACTGTCTATTTATAATACAACAATATCGAAAACCCTAATGACCATAATTACTATTGTAACCTTGGTCCACATAATTACAAATTAACTCTTAATTGTAATTAAATCAAGCCCAGGACAAAACCCAAACCAACGACCTGTTGAGCGCGACCCAATAGGTTCTCATAATATGGTAGTAACAAAAACCTATTTGGACTTAGGGAATAAAATAACAATCTCCCACTTGCACTGAGACCAAATACACATCGAAGTTACAAACAGTGAGTGATATCTAGTAACACATCACTGCTACCCAAATTACGAGAATTTTGTGATTCCACACACCTTTCTCAATGACAACATATTAGTGTATCAGTATCCCTTTGTTCTTGATATCTAGATTAAATGCAAGCCATGAAAAAAGTGTCACACTTGTACCCATTAAATCTATAAGCTTATGATATCATTCCATTTAGGTTGGAGAAATCATATCTTGATCAACCACGTCTCTAACACTGACTCGGAATGTACCCAATATTAGCCCTCATGGTCCATCTTGGTACATATGACGTTAGACTATATTAAAGCATACAATTGATCATGTAGAAATCCAATGGTTATCTCAAGTCGAAGGATTACAACTATTATCACTATTAGAAACACTCTATGACAATTATAAATACATGTAGTATTCTCACAGTGGGTCAGACCAATACATAAGTTCTCTAATTTTGTACTCATATATTGACTTGATATCAAATATCCATGACAACTTATGTCATCAGCCACACCACACACTAGTTTCATTGCATTATTGTTGTCCTATCCACAATAATACTTTAACTAGGGACATTTAAGAATATTTGAAACATTTTCATTATTCCAAGGACTTTGTTATGAAAAATGTGAACACGCAGATATTCAAAACATAACCATAATAATAGGAAAACCTTGAAGTAACATGATAATTGTAAGATATAACATTTATCCAGAAATATTAAAAAGATACACCGACAATTCTCCCACTAAACTTAGCACATATATTAAAACTATATAGCAGTGTCTTTAATTCCCATGGAAAAAATATGTCGATCGTGCTTCCGCTGCACCAAAGGCTTAGTCAGCGGGTTGGCAACATTATCATCAGTCGGTATTTTGCATATTGTTACATATCCTCGATCTCTAATTACTCGGGGAGCGACGAAGCACATGTTTGGACCTGCTGTTGGTTTTGGGAACCTTAGCTTGTGATATAGCTCCAGTACTGTCACAATAGAGTTCTACTGAATTAGCTATGCTAGGAATCACACCAAGCTCAGTGATGAACTTTTTCATCCAAACACCCTCCTTTGATGCTTCACAACCAGCAATGTACTTGGCTCCTGATGTAGAATCAGCTACTGTTTCATGCTTAGAACTCCTCTAGCTCACAGTGCCGACATTCAAACAAAACGCATAACTTGATTGTGATCGGAAATCATCTCTATAAGTTTGGAAGCTCGCATCTGTATAACCTCTTATAACAAGTTCTTCCTCACTGCCATAGACCAAGAATTTTTCCTTTGTCATTCTCAAGTACTTGAGTATATTCTTGACAGCTACCCAGTGAGAGTCACCTGGGTTGGATTGGTATCTGCTCGTAGCACTCAAAGCATACAAGACATTTGGATGAGTACATAACATGACATACATGATAGAATCTATTGCTGATGCATATGGTATCTTACTCATGCATTCTTGCTCAAATTGTGTCGAAGGGCACTGATCTTTTGAGAGTTTTATACCATGTGACATTGGCAAAAATCCCTTCTTTGAATCCTGCATACTAAACTTTCTCATAACTTTGTCGAGATATGTACTCTAACTTAGGCCAAGCAATTTTCTTGATCTATCTCTATAGATTC